ATTCCATTTCCCCACAGAATTTCATCCTGAAGCAACTTATATTTTATGCTAGAAAATCTATTATTGATTTCTTTATCATACTCCCCTGCCATATAAATATCTATATGCATTCCAGCGTAAGCTTTAAAAATTTTCTGTGAGCCTAGGGCTCTAAGTGCTTAAGTAACAATTTCCTCGATGGAGCAATGATAACTATTAGTGATAGGAAAGAAATTCGTAACAACAAAATATAATACACTGTTTTATGATTATTAAACATTAAAAAGTAAAACATTCTTAGAAATGCAGATGTTAGTGTATGGGGCTTTATTCTTGTTGTTTCAATTCATTCATATATCTGTGGAAAATTATTAAGCAGTCATTGCTAGAATAAGACAGAGTTAAACATCAGTTTCATTTCTATTTTTCTTTGGTTTCTTTTTTTAACATAAGCAAAGAGAAAATGTGTCCGTGTAAATGAGAAGACGGCAGGGGGGAAGATGGGTTATAATACTGTCATTCTGTTCTTTGTACTCTTTCCAAGTTACAGGCCCCAAATCCCAGAGTGGTCCATCACAGAAAATTACTTCTAAGGCCCTCTCTGCTGGCAATTCGATCAGACCCACCTTCAAAGAACAGGACAACGTCTGAATGGCTAAAGGATTTCTGCCCAGGGATGAGCGATGAGAACCCTTCCCTTTGTCCACATCAGCACCAACGTTCCAAGAGTGCCTCGGTGTATGCCTGCAGATTCTGCTACCCGGAGACAAGGTCGTAAGGCAAGAGTGTGTCTTTCTTGAGTCAAATGGGAGAGGGAAACTGTGCAAGGAGAGGAGAACTGGCTTCCAGGGCATTCTCGGGCAGAGCAGTTTTAGGGGAAAGGATACAGAAGCTGAGCACCTGGAAACTGATTTTGTTAGCACTCTCTGTGCACCTGTGTAAAGGAAAGTCTCTTTCCTTTGTGTGCTTTGATGAACATGGGCCTCAGTGACAGCTACTGACTTGGATGGCCTCTCGGAGGCTGTTTTTCTAGATCACAGGACTACAAAAACAAGGGAAAGGAATGAAACTCTGATCAACTAAAAGGGAAAACTACATATTATATGCCTTTGAGATGGGCCGATGCAACTGTAATACACAGCACTACGATGTATTCATGCCTAAAAAAAATGGAATCTGAATTAATCGAGACTCTAGGTCTAACTCCCAGCTTACAGGAGATACAGCAGACTGAGGAACAAGTTATACAACAACACGAGGAAGCAATCAGCCAAGTTCAGAATATAGAACAGTCTAGAGACAAATGGCCCAGTTTCTCCAACAAATTACTAGTGTGAAAAAAAAAATGGACTTGTTAAAGAGATATAACAAACAAATTGAATATAAAAATCTTGTTTGGATCCTAATTCTAACAAAACAATCTTAGAAGATATCTTTGAAAAGATGGAGGGAATCCGAATATGGATTGGGTGTTAGATTATAATAAGGAATTATTGTTAATTTTGGTAGGTATGATAATGGCATGGTGATTATGTTTTTTTAAAAAAGTCACTCAGTTAGAGATATGCATTGAATTTACAGGTGAAATTACATGATGGCTGGGATTTGCTTTTACAAAATATTCTAACCTCCCAAGAAGGCTGGGGGCAGACAGATAAAACGAGATTAGCAAAATGTCGACGACTGAAGTTGAGTGACGGGTACCTGGGATGCATCTCAGAAATGCATCTCACTCCACTTTTTTCACATGCTTAAGAATGTCTATGATAAAAGGTCTTTTAACAGGGAATGGGAGGAGAAAGAGAGTATTTAGTTAGTGCCAACCACGTATTAGGGTAGGCCCATGCTAGACACTTACTAAGTATTATCTTATTTTACAAGTCCTGAAGCAGCTGCCCATCAAGCCTCCTTCCCTGTCTAAGGAGAAACAGAGGCATTTGATAAGCAGGGAAATCAGTAGGGTAGGTGATTAGAGAGAGCCGTTAGCACCCGGGGAACACGGAGATGTCTCTAGGTCACAAGGGGACAGACTGGAGATTGCCCCTGGCAGAGCAATGTCAGAATAAACGTGTCTCCATTTACATTTCTCCTTCTACACGCTACTTACCCCTGCAGCAAAGCCAAGACTTCCATCTAAGATCCGCCTCTGAAAATGAAAACAAGATGTTTCAGTTTCCAAGGAACAATAAGATGACGTTTCTTGGGATAAGAAGAAACCATAAGGCACAAGAGAGCCACACAGATGTACACTGGCCCACTCCTGAGCTTGTGAACTCCTGAATGTATACAATGGGCCCAGAACCAGGGGGGAAAAGATTTTAAAACTTTACATCCACCCTACAGCCAATCAGCAGTGTTCTTTCGAGTGGTGCGTGGCTTACATTAGCCCATGTGCTATCTCACACTCAGCTCTCCCTGTGAATTATTATCACAACAATAAACCTTTAGCCAGGAGCTGGTCTACGAGATGGAAATTACCAAGTGTAGGTGAGGAGCAGGTGGAATAATCAAAACCGTCACACGCGTGGGGTGCAAGCTGGCACCGCCACTTTGGGAAACGATCCGGCAGCACCAACGAGCTGTGAATGCTGGGCGTGCCACGTCTGCGTGACTCCGTAACAGAAACGCACACTCGGAGTCACCAAACATGTGCAAAAATGCACAGCAGCACAATGTGTGAGTGTTGAAAGCTAGAAAGCACCCAAATTCTCCCCAGGATTAGAATGGATAAATCAACTAAGATATATTCATGAATATATCATGAATAGAATAGAATACTGCATGGCAATGAGACCACACACACACGTGAGCACACACAGAGTACATATATCTATCTCACGAACAGGCAGGGGCATTAAACATACTGGAAAATTAATAGGGTGAAATCAGCCAGACGCAGAACAGTACACGCTATATGATTACTCCGTCTAAATAAAGCACGAAAGCAGGGCAAACTCTCCTGCAGTCAGAGACTGGGAGGGGATTACCAGTGGAGGGTGGGCATGGGGGTAGTGACTGGGGGATCCTGGAGGAGATATGGGGGGCTGGAACCGTCCTGTTTCTTGATCTGGGCACTAGGTTCGTGGGCATTTGTGAAAAATAATCAAGCTATCCACTTAAAAAATGCACACTTTCCTAAATACATACATCTTACATGTCAATGCAAAGATTTTTTGGTGCCCATCCATAGATGAATGGATACAAAAAGGTGGCATATACATACAATGGCATAGGCTTCAGTCTTAAACGGGAAAGAAATCCCGGCACAGGCTGCAACACGGATGGGCCCGAGGAGGCTGTGTGCAGCGAAAGAGGCCGCAGTCCACAGAACTCTTTCCCCTCGCAAAGCTGAAACCCACTGCACAGTCACAACTCAGTCCTCCCTCCCCCAGCCCCTGTCTCCATGTATCTGACTTCTCTAGGTTGTATAGCTAGATTCCAGGTAACCTGTCATTCCAGATTGTTCTGAGTTCCAGGTCTCTGATCCATGGCTCCAGCTTCCCCCCGGGGTGGGGAGGGGCGGGGCAGCACGCAGGTGGGGATGCTATCGCTGAGATCAAGACTTGCCGTACTGGTCTCTAACACAAGAGCACCCCACTCGCCAACTTCCTAGACATGTTTTCATTTCCAGACCTCCTGCAATTCCTACGGCTGCTGAGCTGAACAATGCAGAGACCATGCTTTCACCAAGACAGCCATGGACAGCTCCTGGCCATGTCTGAGGGGGGTCTGGGTTGGAGGGAAGAACCGTATTTCAGGCACAAGAGGTGGGTGTGGGCTGTGCAGGGGTGTGGGGAGGGGGTGTGTGCAGGTGTAGGAGTGTGGAGTGTACAGCAGGGGTGTAGGGATGTGGTTTGGAGTATAGTGCAGGGAGAGATGTGGGAGGTCTAGGGGTACATGGGCGCGGGGGGGCAGGAGAGTGAGTGAGGGTGCTGGGGGTGTGAGCAGGACACGTGGAGGATGGGGGGGCGCGGGCATCTGCAGGGGGCCGGGGAGGCGGGTCTGTCTGTCCTCATCCCAAGGGGGATGAAACATCCAGGAGAGGAATAAAGGAGTAAGGGAACAGGAACCCTTCCTCCCCCCAGGGTCTCTCCAGTCCTCCCAGCTAACTCGAGGCCACAGGGGAGACAGTCACATCTGAAACCTAATGTTCTTCTGCAGTCATGGATATACCACCTGCCCCAGGCCTGAAAGACATTAGCCGCAAAGCAGAAATCAGGCAGTGGGCTAAAGGACACTCCACAGCTGGGCTAAAGGAAACTCCACAGCTGGACTTCTCACTTCCCATCCCCCTGAGTCAGGCTGTCAAGAGTCGGGGGGCGGGGGGCGGGAGGAGAAGATGCATGAGAGCGTCTGCGTCTGCGGACAGCAGACACCTGTTCTCCAGGCCCGGCAGGGAGAGGGGAAGAAAATAAGAAGAGAGCGAACAAACCCCACCACCCCGCACCTGGAGGTGTGGCCAAGGGAATCCAAGGGTCTGCAAACCTGCTCTACGGAGTGGGATGGTTTCAGAGCTTTCCACGAGAGTCCCCACAAACTTCCAGAACCAAAGCGGGCAACTCACCTGTCCACTAGAGAATACGAACACGAGAGCCGCCCCAGCTGCCGTCATCCCCCAGGTGAAGAAGGTTCCCAGCAAGGCCTGGGACACAGAGCTGTGGCCTTGGAGCATGCTGGATACGACTGTGTGCAGAGGAGCGAGAGGGTCAGCGGCATGTTCCAACGTGCCCTAACACCCCGCGCCGGAGCTGGCTTCCCTGTGGGTTGGTGGCGTGCACCCTTCTGCCATGCCGTCCCTGCATTCCTCAGCCACCCACATGCAGGTCAGGTGTCTCCATCCCAGCCCCCCAGCTATCAGAAATCGTCTAACTCTGAAAGGAAACTCTGAAAGGGGACCTCTAGAGGTGCAAGGGGAGCCCACAAAAGAAGTTACAACATTGAGAAGTGGTTTCAAAGAGCAGACCACAAAGAGTGTGGATTATTGAGCCTGGAGGAAGGGGGCCCAGGAGGGTCTGATGCAGCCTTCCCCACACAATCTGCTGCTTCATCCACCTCTGGCCCATCATCTATTCTCAGCCGCCTCCCAATACAAGTGACAAGCTCAGAAGCTCTTAAAGCTCTTCCAGCTAACTCCCCGTCACACCTGCAATAGCCCCCCTGCCTGCTGAAGGGTAAACGCCACCAACTGACCTTCCATCCTGCCCCTGCCGACTCTGCAAGCCCTGCATACCAGAGCCCCATGCTCCAGCTCAACCCGGTTATTTATGGCACCTTTGACAAGCCCCGGATGGTCCTGTTCATACAGTTCCCTCCTGGAATACCCTCCTTCCACATCTCCAGCCAGGAGAACCCAGAGCATCGCCTGCAGCCCACCTGATGCCAGCTTCAGGACAAAGGCTTTCCTGGTCCCCCCAGCCCTGCCATGCGCACATCTTTCTCTGCGTGGCTTTGCCTCCTCCATCTTTTATATCCTTAGCTGCTCAATGCTTTGTCACATTTGGCACCCCTGTGAAATAGGACTTTGTGGCCCCTGAAAAATATTCACCAGGTTGAAAAGGGCCATCTTACCTGGACGGGCCAGTCAGCAAGGACAAGGACACAGACCTATGAATGGAATGTCCCCTGGCCAGCTCAGCAGCCCGCTGCTGAAGCCGAAGTTACAGCCCTGCCCGCTAAGAAAAGAAAGGGAAGAACCATTCCCCCTGCTTCGGCCCAAAGAGCCTGCTCCAGATCTTAACACGTTTCAAACCCTAGATCTGAAATGACAGAGTCAGACCTCTCCCTGTGGAAAGTTACAAGGCAGGGAAACCCATTTGTTGAAAAGCCCTGTGTTCGGGTACACAAACACCAGGGCCTCATCTCAAAGGCCTCATTCAGCTCCCCACCGGCCTTCCAGCACCCACAGGGCTGGACACGACCCCACTGGGCTCAGCCCTGCCGGGCCGGCACTCTGAGAAGCCCCAGCAGCCCTGGGCCTGCGGATCAAGAGCTGAACACGCTGCCTCTATTGTTCCTGGAAGGAACCCGTGGCAGGGGTGCACAGGGCCCATATGCCAAGGGGCTCAGCAACACAGCCAAGGTCAAACCTAGGAAAGGCTATGGGCCCAGACAAACCCAGGTGAGCCCAGGCTCAGCACCTGTGCTAGGATCCTCTGAGATAAATAGCATCTTTGGGTTCCCACTGTGGTCCCCACAGTCTAAACAGAGCTCAGGATGGTGACTGCACCAATTAAAGAAAAAAAAAGTCATTTTTTAAAATCCACCCTTTACATACGTTATCTTGTTAAGTCACCGAAAAAGAGTGGTTTTTGTTTGTTTTTTTAACCAAGCCATCTGGATTGTTGCACCAGTCATCTATGTCTAGCTGCTTGTGGATAAAATTTCAAACAGCATTTACAAAGAAAGACACATAGCTATCATCCTCTTAGTACTTAACATCCAAAACAGGTCATAACAAAAACATCTTTTTTTCCCTGTATTTGAATATGCGTTTTGACAGCTACAGAAGAAAGCAAACAATTTACATTTGCCAACGGGCCAAAATTAAAGTGGGTTTTGTGGGATGGTGAACAGAAAGGAGCTCGTGGGTGTTCCTGGTTGTTAGTGGGACATAAAACTCTTCTAAGCCTGTCTGTCCCTACTTATACCTAAGGACCCTGAGAAAAAAACAAAAAGGGACCCAGAGAGAAAACCCAGGCCACCATCCTTTCCATCCCAACAGGAGCAGCACTGATCATTGATCGTGGGCCGTGCAAACCCAGCACCCCTTGGGGAAGTTTCTTCCATTTGCTACCTTAAATCCTCGCTGCTCAAAGGCTGGTCGGAGAACCAGCAGCCCTGTCCCCCCCACCCCAGGGAGCTAGTTAGAAATGCAGAATCTCCCACCCCACCCCAGACCTGCTGAATCAGAATCTGCATTTTATGGAATTCCACGGGGTATTCTTATGCACATTAAAGTGTGGAAAGCACTGGCCTAAAACTAGCACAACTTCTACAAGACCAAGAGCTTAGAAAGTGAGTTCTCCTGCCCTCCGGGGGACTGGCAAGGCTGACAAAGGATTCCAAGAGGACAGAAAGTTTTCTCTAACTGGTGGACCAGAAACACCTTAGGAACAGGCATCTCCAAAGTAGCTACACAGGGGGACTCAGACTTCCTCCTGAGCTGGGCGTTAATACAATCAACCCTGATTAGTTAGCAGGAAAGAGGATCATTCTCTGCTCACTCCAACTTTAAAGATGCCCACACCCCTTCACCTGTACATATTCCACTACGGCAGCACATGGGGTTCCCGGCTGACTGATAAGAGAATTGTTTTATTTTTTCTCCCCCTTTTAAACCTGTTGCACTGCTTCCAAGAGTCAGCTTCATGGTGTCAGTGAAGTTGCAGAAGCAGAAACAGCACTAGGGCTGCCTGGACCTTGGAGGAACTGCACACACACGCCCTGACTCCACGAGGGGAATCTGGCAGAAGGATTTAGGTCTGGGCAGATAGGACAGTGGAAAAGTTGTCTGATCCCTCGGTACTCAAGTGTAGTCCCAGACCAGCAGACCTGGGAATTGGTTAGAAATGCATGATCTCGGGCCACCCAGACCTGCAGCAGGTTACCCAGACTCCCACCAAGTTCAAGAGGTGCTTCGAACACCCACAGCGAGTGGGCGGGGCCTCTGACCGCTAGAATTGCAGCCACCTCTGCTCCCAGGAGACCTGGGTCCCCCATACGCCCCCCACGAAGCGATCAATGAAGAGATCTTGGCAGGACTGCAAAAGGAACGCATGTCATTGTCCTCCTGCCCACCCTGGAGAGGGGCAGAGAGGGGCTCTGGCACCTTCCTCGCCCCCTGCCACCTGCCAAAGCCTCCAACTTCTCCTCCAACCCCCTCCTCTCTCCAGGGGCACCCCCTTCCAAGATGTCCTGGTGGTCCCCGACCCCGGGCCTCGGGCCCAACCAAAGGCGCTGAAGGAGAGAAAAGCCGACTCACTAGGGTGCCCTCTCCAGCCCCCACTGCACTTCCATCAGCCCCGCGGCCGCTCGCGCGCCGGCTCCGCTCCCGCAGTCACTTCCTGCTTCCCTCCCGCACACGTGTCCCTCCGGCCTCCCGGCCCCGCCCGCGCGGTCGCAACTGGCAAATCCCGCCCCCAGAATAAATTCCCTGGTTCACAGCCTCCTGCAGGCGCAGGAGCAGGTCGGGGCGGGCAGAACGGTCTGCAAGCACACGCCTCCGCAGTCCCGGGGAAGCCGCAGACACCCAAGGAAAGGGCGCTTTGTAGTGTCCCTGATGTTGCTTACGTTTCTACACCTTTAGCAGCCGGGTGCAATGACATGGGTGAACAGCAGAGCAGGATGTTTTGGGCTGGGGGCGGTGACACCACCATCAGCGTCATTGTCTAGGTCAATGGCCCTTGAGCCACAGCTCCCATCAGAATCACAGGGAGGGATGTCAGACACGGAGCGCTGGGACCCCCAGAGGTTCTGGTTCTGGAATTCTGGGTGGGGCTAGATTTTCTGTTTTGAACTAGGAGTTGCTGATGCAGGAGGTCCTGGGGCCACTCTTTGAGGAGCACAGCCCAAGGTCTGTGCTCCCCAGGGCTTCTGTGAAAGGACCAGAGAGTAGGATGGCTGGATTTGGCCAAAACCAAACCAAAACAAAAACAGGATGCCTGGTTAAATTTGAATTTCAGTTAAACAACAAATCATTTATTAGTATAAGTATATCCCAGACAATCTTTGGGAACATACTCATGCTAAAAACATATTCATTGTTGATGTGAAATTCAAATTTAGCTGGGTATCTTGTATTTTACCAGACAAGAGGTAACCTGAGCAGAAAAACTGCCCGGGGTCACAGTAGCCACAGACCCATGGTCCAATAAGAACAGGCCTCTTTCGTCCCACAGCAGTCAGCCTCCACACGGATGGTCACACCATATACCATGCACCGTGCTGGGAAAAGGAGGAGGCCTTCCACATAACAGCCCGTGACAGGCACATAAGAGAAGCAACACTCAAGTGGCAAGGCGTGTCAATTTGACCTCCAAAATGTCACAGCTCTCCCTGCACGCTGCGATGTGATGAAATGGTATATCTTGGATTTGCTTCAAAATACTATGGAAAGGGTAAGTGCATGGAGTAGAGATTAAATGAAATTGGCCATGAATTCACCATTGTTGGAACCGGGGAATAGGCACACAGGGGTTCATAAATTTTTCTGCTTTTGCACATGTTTAAACTTTTCATAATGAGAAGTGAACAGAAATTTTTAAAACAATCAACAAAGTGCCTCTCCTGCCCAATCCTTTCTCTCCCTTCTCACTGCTGCCATGAGGATTCAGCCTCCCAAACCCCTCACCTAGATCACGGCAATCACCTCCTTCCGCTCCAGCCTGTCTAGCCTGTTCTGTGCACCACTGCCAAGATCAACCTGCCTGAAGCGAAGGATGTTACTATCCTGCTCAAAAACCTTCAATGGCTCCCTAGTGTCTTTGTCATAAAGTTCAAACTCCTCAGCCTGGAATTCAAGGTTTCCCGAGACATGGCTCCAACAACACTTTCTCAGGTTTGTCTTCCAGTGTCCTCTCTCCTTATGCCATCAGCGAAGGACCCATAGGGCAGCAGAATAGTGGGTGGCCCTTTCTAGAGGAATCACTGTTGCTTGATCTGGATGGCCCTGGAAGATTGGGGTGGTGTGGGCAAGAAGACAGTGGCCAGCAGCTTCATGGAAAGGGTGGAGACTGGTACAAAGTGATCCAACCCCATGAGTCCCAGATCTCTGCACCCCTCCCCTCCCCTCCCCTCCCCTCTCCTCTCCTTCCCTTCTCTTCCCTCTCTCCCTCTTCTCTCTTTCTCTCTGACGTCTTGTTTCTCTTCAGAGGTAATGTAGCAATTGAGTGCCGGCTTCAGAATCTGACCACACAGGAGAAATCCCAGGTTGGCATGTGAGTTTCCTTGGACCAATTCCCCAACCCCTCTCAGCCTGTTTCCCCATCCTGATTCTGGGAATAACACAGTGCTCTCTCCAGGTTACTGTGACCTGGAGTGATGCCCCCAGCACCCTGCCCGGCACCCGTCCTGGCACCCTGAATGATCATTCCCCATCAACCCTGTCCGTCCTTCATGTATTCGTTCATTTCATTGACCCAACATATTCCTTCAGCATCTATTCTGTGTCAGGCACTCTGCTGGACCCCGACATAGGGAGGTCAACTAAACAGAAGCGGCTTTGCCTCGCCCACCTTCCTTGCCTGCGATGTCGTCCCTTTTACTGAAGTCTGACCACGGACACAGCATCAGGACTGAGACACGCCTCTGAGCCTGAATGTGGATAATGAACCCAGCAGGAACTGGCTCTCAGATTTGCTGATGGCATCGTACCAGTGAAAGTAATAGGCAGTTTATAGACGTGCTATAGAAATGTAAGGGGTTTCTTGTTGCTGTTTGTTTAGGGAATTTTTTAAATTATCCCCACCCATCTATCCAGAATTGATCCACTTCCCCCCAACCCACCGACCTCCACTGCTGCCACCTGTTCCCAATCAACCCTGCTTCGTCATCCTGCCTGAATGCCTGATGGAGTTTCCTGATTCCCCTTTCCCAAGAGTCCCTGCTCTGCATAGCAGCCACAGTGACATTCTAAAGACAAAAACCCAATCATGTCAATCTACTACTGCAAACCCTCCAAGGGCTCCTCTCTGCCCTAGGAGTAAAGCCCAAGGCCTCTCCCTCAGCCTCGGGGCCACGTGGAATCACTCCCCAGCCTTTCCTCACTCTGCTGCACCCATACTGGTCTGCACTCTCCTGGAACACCACCCTTACTCCTGCCTCAGGGCCTTTGCACTTGCTGCGCCCTCTGCCTGAAGCACCTGTCTCCCAGATTTTCACTCATCTGAATACTTCTTGTCATTTGGACGTCAGTTCAAATGTCACCTCTTCAAAGAGGCCTTCCTTAAATATCCAATCTCATGTAGACCTTTCATGCCATTCTTTATTTTCTTCATGGCACTTCTTAATGTCAGGCATTCTAATTTTTTTGGTCCCCACAAATGCAAGTTCCATGACAGCAGTGCCATGCACTGTGTCATGAAGAGAAAACAGCCTGGCCCCTGGCTTTTACATTGCTGTATCCCCAGTGCATGGTACACAGTTGATGTTTAATATTTATTGAATCAATAAGTCAATCAGATACAAAAGTGTTATCTGTTGGCTACACTTTACATATTAAAGACCTTCCTGGGAGTTATGAGAAAAATAATACTTGTATACTGATCAGATTGTCCTAGTTACTTCCATCATATGTGGATATTATCATATTCCACTTGATAATATCATCCAGTGGTTCTCAAACAAGGGCGATTTTGCCCCACAGGGAGCATTCAGCAAGTGGGAGGGTGCTCCTGGCATCTAGCGGGTAGAGGCCATGGATGCTGCTAAACATCCTGCAGTACCCAGGGCAGCCCCCACAACAAAGAACTATCTGGCCAAAAATGTCAGAGGGTGAGAAACAAAATGTGTGAAGCTGCGAAACCCTGGTGTAATCCCATAAAATAAATGTTTTATTATACCATGAGCGTCTGGCCTCATGGCACTAGCTAGCAACTGATTCACCATAAAACCCCAGAAGAGAACCACTGTCCACAATCATTGCAAAAATATACCTACAATAAAACATCCCATGTGCCCAATTCCCTCTAAGCTTTTGGGTCTTGATAATTAAGACTCTTGTGATGTCATCAGGACACAATTACACTATAGAGCATCCTAAATAGAAGTGCCTGGAAGGGCTTCGGCAGTGACTCCCTGACAGCTGGAATCACCCTGGCTCTCCCTTTGCTCCCCACCATGACTGAGAGACTGATGCAGAGTACGCAGCACCCCGGGGAGCCGACGGCCATGGGATGCCGCTTTCCTGAGCCTAGCAACCCTAGAGGGCTTGGGGGGAAACTGAGTCAGGATTCGGGTCCCTCCTCACCCCTCTCGAAAGTTTGATTCCGAACCTGCACCACGTATGCTCAAGAGAGGGCACAACAGTCAAGGCTCCGCTGCCTTTATACAAATCTGTTGTTGGCAGAGAAGTTTCCGATCCCGTGAGAGGCATTTAAAATGCAAGCCCAAGCTTGCTCGATGGCCAGCTTAGTAAGACATGCAGTTATTAGACAGAAACCGCCACCGACGGAATCTGAAATAACCCTGTCTCTGAGCCAGTGATTGGCATAGATCAGTTTTCCCCATTTTCTACATTTGTTGCTTCAAACTCATCTGGCATCCCATGATAAGTCATTCCGTGGACGCCATTTTGACAGGCTTGCTACGAGGAATTGCTGAGCAATTAAGTTCTACCCCGAGCCTATTCCTTCGCAGGTGTGTGGATCACCTGAATGACCTGTTCATTCATTCGGTCACTCGGCAAATGTTTACTGCCCACCTACACACCAGGAAATGAGGCAAATACAACCTGCAGCCTCACGATGCCTCCAGCCTAGAACTTTGGACATTGCGTTGATTGTGCATTATAAACTGAGGTTTATTATTAAAGCTATTGTATTATTCAGCTGCCTCTTTCTTTTTGTTATTCCTCATAAAACATCCATGCCTTCCACTGCCGGAAGCTAGTGAGTCACTCTAGCTAGCGAAGACATAGCCACAGGCGACAACCTCCTTCCTTTGGTGGGCAGAGAGCACCTGACAGCAAGTGCAATGTAGCCAAGCCCAGGGCCTCACCTGCAAGGGCGTTGCTGGAGTGGAGAGTGTGCTAGGTGGGGAGGGGCCCAGGTTACACATCAGTGTGAACACTGCTGATAAATTGTCAGAAAGACTTCAGAAGAAAAGGACCTGGATCTAAGGTCTGAGAACTTGTGATTTCCTTCTCATGCTAAAGTAATGTTCATTTTTATACCTAAATTTCTTTCTTTTTCTTAAAGAAAACCCTCAAAATCATATAAGCTTAGGAATCCACAAAACCTGGATGTGCCCTGGGTGAATATGCAGAGATTTAAGCAGGAAAACAAATAACTTCACCTGCTAGACACGGTCACGCACCCTCCCTCCCCCACAAAGATGTCCACATCCTAATCCCTGAAACCTATGAAAA